TTATTATTATTATTATTATTATTATGGCGCATGTCTATATGCCTTCCAAGGGAAAAACTTCGTTTGTAATAATATAATGTATAATGATAAAATATTAAATAACAGCGACGCGTATTCATGGGACGTCGATACAATATGTCATCTGACATAAACTCTATCCTGTATTATATTATGCTCCGTAACTTACACAATATAATACACACACACACACACACACATATATATATATTCTAGCAGGTACAACACATCTACATCTCGATCAACATGGCCGTATTATAACGCTCGAATAATAGTATAATAATATAATAAAATATGCTACGCAAASTACATGTACAATKTCATATTACGTGTTGCATTGCGCTGTATATACTGTACCGCAGATCAGTATAAATTATGATATTKTTCGCGTGTACCTAACCTCCATATAATAATAAATATTGTATTATTAAATAACTACTTTTCGGTAGGTATAATAGTATATAACGCCACGACGAACAAAGTTGTTGAAAATGTTTTGTGACTGTACCTACCAATGATTAGTTTACTACCCGACAGGTTTTACGATCTAATAATTTTGTCAATGCAATGGAATAGAAGTGTCAATTACGTACCTGATACCTGTTTCTCTCATTTATTACTGTAGATACTGATATTTATTTAATGTAGTCATTTATTATTATTATATTTTTTTTTCATAATTTATATGAGAACTAGTCGTTAACAAAGTTATTTCTGAAAAGAAAAAATGAAACACTTTAATGTACGATTATAATTTATATAGTATATATTATATAGTCTTAACTGAACGCAATGCGTACATATAAGTTAGTAATATGATGCGTTGTATATTATAATAYGTACAAGTATAATATATTTCATAATATATACAACGCATTTATTGAAATTATTAATACAGACGTTTAGAAAAGATAATATTACTCACAGAAATGCGTAGCTTTGTGATAGTATATTTCTCGTCGTAAAAAAAAAAACAATTTAAATGTAAAAAGTAAGCTAATAGATTTCTAAAGACTACCGAATAAATCGCATGCTATCCATGTTTGTTTTTTTTCTAAGATATATATTGTTATTCCACATACATATGATTATTATAGGCACATTAGACACATCATGTCACTATTAATATTTTATACGACATAACTGAATTAATAGTTAAGACGTCATATATGGCATATTATAGGGATAGGTTCATGTCACATTGTCTGAGGAAGACGGGATTTGAGTGATTTTTCTCAAGAGTTCAAACTTTTCATCAAACATTAATTTCTTATACCAAAAACCAGCAGTATTGGAAAAAATCGTGACAATGAACTTAATATTCATCTGACAACGTTTTTAAGGCGTGGAAAGGCGGTCAGAACAAGTTTTTTTACTTAAAAAATAACAAATATAATATACAAATATTTAAAAAAATATTTAATTAAACCCAAATGGCAAATACTTCAATTTAACAAAAATCTTTTCCCAGCATCAATTTTAAAATAAACATTTAAAAAAATAATTGATTAAAAATACCTTCACCACATGAAAATCATTATTGATAAATATAAATTTCTTGGTGACACTGGACTCGCCTTTTAGAAATCAATGTTCAAAACTCCTTCTGAAACCAGCATTTTCTCAACCAAAAGCCAAGTCATCCGAGAAAGTTATTTCATATGCAATAAATCCAGTGTCCGAAAAAATACTCATTAATAATTATATGTGATAATCATTATAAATGATTCTCTAAGTGGCACTCATTGCTCTAGAAAACAACAATTAAATTATCCAAGTCATACAGAAATTTTTATCTCACTTAAACAAAGAGATCAAATTTCAATTGCTCATTGACATGACTGGTAAAGATCTAGCGAAAAAGACATCCGRCGAAGCAACAATATAACTTTGTTCGGTAATAATAAATAAAATAAAATTTTATGATGCACAAAAAAAAAAATGCAGTGTTACAAAAACATACTGTCAAAAAATACGTAAGAGGAGACACAAATTTCATACTAACTGAAAAATCAAAACATCAATCGTTCCATGGAAATCACTCACAACATTAACCAGATACGAAGAGGTAGTTGTACATTCTCGTTTAATACATGCCTACATCTTAGAACCAATGAAGAACTTCCAACCTATGAACTATGTGACATACTATTGACCATCAAATACATTGTACTCGAATATCACGAGAACAACACGATATAAATTCTTAGAAACCCACTCATGCAGTATATGCAACAAGCACTTGGAGAAGAAAATTCGAAAAATACCTTCACGTTTTTCGTGGACATAGGTATAGGTCTATCAAAGTTACTCTAAGACAGTTTATATTATCAGTCAATTCCCTTCAAATATTCAACATCATGTTCCCTCATAGAATTGTGAATTGTGAAAAAAATATGTAATTATATGTATTATGTAAAACTTTCAGGCTAATGAGCTCAAACGTTGAAGCCTTATTAAATCAATAACAAAAAATAAATTTATAAATATAAGTTTTATAATATATAATATTTTTGATTTTTTTTTGACGAGCTACAATGACATTGAAAACAATTAAGGAAGCTTTAGTTGTTACAAGGTTTTTTTCTCCGARTCGAATATTTGAATGAAAAATTATTTAATAATTAATAATCCAATTTTTAGACACTATATTATCTATATAATTAAAAATAACCGCATAATTAATTCATATTTTCATAGTTTGCGTATTTGACCTTTTTCTGCAAACAATATTATATTGTAGTCATTGCATAAAAAACTTATCGGCTTCAAATAATAATATTGCGATAGTATCACAACAAATCGAATTCCAAACGTAAAGTAACTATAAATAATACGATAAACAACCATGATAATATATATTAATACGTGTATAATATATTATTGTAAACGTTGTGGAAATGTTAAATGTCCGAGAACAGAGGTCGCAGCTATCTCGTCTAATAAGTTTATTGTAGTGAAGTCTTCCGCTGCCGTGTGCCGCCGTCGACAACACCGTCATTCATTTGTCATTCACCGTCGTGCTGTGTACATATTATATACGTATATTATCGTCACTGCGGCGCACCTACAACTCACCTGCAGCAGTAGTGAATCCGACGATCACGGGCTGTCAATCACGTTTAGGTACGTGTATGTACACGGACGTCAAAGCGATGGACACGTGGTGGCAGATAAATAGCCRATTAAGTAAACATTTGAACAAAAAATCAATAAAAAATCGAAACGCAGACAAAATATAATAATATGTCACATAGTAATAATAATGACAACAGCAATAATAAGAGCATTCACGTCACTGTCAATGGACGCGCGCGTTAAGCGTCGTCCGCTAACGATTTTCTATGTTATTATTAAGTACCCGAGGCGATGCCCACGACGGGACTATTACTGTATGTTGTTGTGATACAATATCATTACAATACAATATTATTGTAATATTGTATGATGATATAATAATGTTGTGGCATTATAAACAATATTATTATGGGTGACTTACGTGTGACTCTGATTCGTAAAAATATTATATCATTATAACGACTGCAAGTATCTATTATTTTTATATACCTAATGCCTACTTACTATTCGATGGAAGGCGTACGCTAACCTAACCAGGGTGCGGCGAACTTTATTTAGGGTTCCGTGAAATTATTTGAAATATATATTTTAAGAAAAAAAAAATATATAGGTAATTAATGTTCCCGGGACCTTCGGGTGTCCCGAACGAGGTCCTCAGGATTTTCGTCACCACCCAGACTCAAGCAGTGCTGAACTCTATGAACGACTAGACGCTCTGATGTTTCCACCACGTTGGAAAAGGGCCCACCTAGGGTTGATCAGGAAAGGCGCGGACAAGTTCCCTGACGCCCCGCCCAGCTACAGACCTAACCTCGACGAACACGAGGGCAGCAGGAGAGCACCCAACCAGTTCGGATTCTGCAAGGGCATCAGCACTGAGAGTCAGCAGTTACCAACGTCCTCAGCCTCGCTGCCCAGGCAGCTGTCACCCCTGCCAAAAAGAGTTTGTGCATCCTGGTGACCCTCGATGTCAAAAATTCCTTTAACTCCTTGAGGTGGCCAGTGGTCGACGCCACTCTTGGAGGAATTCAAATGCCGGAATACCTGGTGGAGATGTTCAGGTTATGGCTCTCTGACAGGGCGCTGCTAATCGGAGAGGAGAGGACCTCCAGGTCAGTCACGTGARGGGTTCCACAGGCATCCGTCCTCGGATCGGCTCTAAGGAATGTCGCATATGACTGAAAATGGAAAATGGGCGTGCCTCGGGGTACAGCTCATWAGGTTCACCAACGATCTGGCCGTCGTAGAAACGGGATATAGGGTCAGTTGTTGGAGGATCTTGTCAATCCCATCTTGCAGAGAATTGACGATTGGATTACGAACCACGTTCTGGAGTTGGCCCACCAAAAACGGAAGCTGTTATCCTGTCCAGGAGACGCRCGTACTTCCCCCCGAGGCTATCAAACGGAGGACACACAATAGTCCTGTTCGACAGGATCAGATACCTCGGGGTGATCCTGGACAAGAGGCTCATCTTTGCGGCTCACGTGGACGTCGTGGCCAAAAAAGTCGCGTGCACAGTGGCWGCGTTGGCTAGTCTCATGACCAACATAGGTGACCCCTGCAGGTGGAAAAGAAAGCTTCTCAGCTCCATGGTCGACAGTCAGTTGCTGTACGTCGCCCCTATCTGGATCAGCAGGGTGGCCGTGGTAGCCAGGGCCAAGCGAACCTGATTCGTCCACAGAAATGGTCAGCGCTGAGAACAATCTGCGCATACCACACCGTCTCCGACGAGCTTCCTGGTCCTGGCCTCCACGGTTCCCGCCGACTTACTTGGCCTAGAACGGGTCAGGATCTGGTTCTTACTCCTTGCTGACATAACACCTGGCGAGACGCGGCCATCAAAACAGACCGTGAAATGAGAAGAAAGATCCCACACTGTCGAGAAGTGAAGTATACAGAGATGGGAAGCAACCAGGAAAGCGTCCTTAAACCGATCCTGCATCCCGTCCACCGGACGTTGGCTGGGAAAAATGGTCCCGCTAGTGTTCCTGACGTTCCACATGTCACAGGCGCTAACGGAAAACGGCTGTTTCCAGTCATGTTTCTACAGGAGAGCCAGCGCCGCCAGTCCAATGTGCCTGCAGTGCAGACGCATCGAGGACACGGTGGAGCATACTCTGTTTGAGTGATACTCCTAGAACGCCCTCCGTTACCCTCTGTCCACCCAGCTGGGACGCAGCCGTGTACAGCCGTCATCCAGGACATAATTTGCTGACCGCCATTTGACCAGCTTCCAGTAAACCCGGATGAAAAGTTAGCAATATTAAGGAACGCGGAGAAGTCGTTTTAGCTGTTCTATGGGATGGTCGAACACATCTTCTCACTCAAGGAAGAAGAGGAGTAAGTTCACCAAGCCACGAAGGTGTGGCGGTGAGATCCTGACGCAGAATCCGGACATAAGACTAGTGAAGCAATTTATTGTAGCTGAAGGAACCTAGGGAAACAGAGCCTCTCAGTATTTTATTCATAACTTCGTTGTAATATTATTGAGTGAGGAATTGTCCCACCGCTAATAATTTTTGATATAATTGTAATCAATAAACGATAAGAGTCAGAGGAGAAGCAATGCTGGCTCTCAAAACAAAAGAAAAAAAAGGTAATTAATGTTCAATGTAATAATTTGTTTTATAAAAAAATATGTGTATAGTATATATAATATATATATTAGATAACAGTCAATGGATATAGTGATATGTAATTTCATTATACTATTATAGTAGACGTATCAAGAATTTTTGGCCTGGTTTGCCTATTTATATTAATATAATACAATTAATATTTATATCATAACACTTTATATCTTTGTATGTAGGAACGTATGAAGTCAATTATACAANTGATTCGTCCACAGAAATGGTCAGCGCTGAGAACAATCTGCGCATACCACACCGTCTCCGACGAGCTTCCTGGTCCTGGCCTCCACGGTTCCCGCAGACTTACTTGGCCTAGAACGGGTTAGGATCTGGTTCTCACTCCTTGCTGACATAACACCTGGCGAGACGCGGCCATCAAAACACAGACCGTGAAATGAGAAGAAAGATCCCACACTGTCGAGAAGTGAAGTACAGAGATGGGAAGCAACCAGTAAAGCGTCCTTAAACCGATCCTGCATCCCGTCCACCGGACGTTGGCTGGGAAAAATGGTCCCGCTAGTGTCCCTGACGTTCCACATGTCACAGGCGCTAACGGAAAACGGCTGTTTCCAGTCATGTCTCTACAGGAGAGCCAGCGCCGCCAGTCCAATGTGTCTGCAGTGCAGGCGCATCAAGGAAACGGTGGAGCATACTCTGTTTGAGTGCTACTCCTAGAACGCCCTCCGTTACCCTCTGTCCATCCAGCTGGGACGCAGCCGTGTACAGCTGACATCCAGGACATAATTTGCGGACCGCCATTTGACCAGCTTCCAGTAAACCCGGATGAAAAGTTAGCAATATTAAGGAACGCGGAGAATTTGTTTTAGCTGTTCTATGGAATGGTCGAACATATCTTCTCACTCAAGGAAGAAGAGGAGTAAGTCCACCAAGCCACGGAGGTGAGATCCTGACGCAGAATCCGGACATTAGACTAGTGAAGCAATTTATTGTAGCTGAAGGAACCTAGGGGAGCAGAGCCTCTCAGTATTTTATTCATAACTTCGTTGTAATATTATTGAGTGAGGAATTGTCCCACCGCTAATAATTTTTGATATAATTGTTATCAATAAACGATAGGAGTCAGAGGAGAAGCAATGCTCTCCATACAAAAGAAAAAAAAAGGTAATTAATGTTCAATGTAATAATTTGTTTTATAAAAAAATATGAGTATATGTATATATTAGATAACAGTCAATGGATCTAGTGATATGTATTCTCATTATACTATTATAGTAGACGTATCAAGAATTGTTGGCCTGGTTTGCCTATTTATATTAGTATAATACAATTAATATTTATATCACAACACTTTATATCTTTGTATGTAGGAACGTATGAAGTCAATTATACAATATAACATGCAAACGCGGTGGTTCATAGGTATGCAGTCGATTATATA